TATTCAAAATGATGTGCTGTGTGTGTAGATGTTTGTTGTTTGTTTTGTTGTTGTGGTGTTGGGTGGTGTGTTTTTTATGTATTTTATTAATGAATTTGATGTGATGATAGGATGTGAAGAAGAATGGGATGAGTGGTGTGTTGTGTGAGGGCACAGTGGAGTGCGTGGCGTAATCTGTGGTTGCAGCTTTGGATGTGTGTGTGTGTGTGTGTTGTGGTTTGGTTGAGTATATGTGCGCCACAGCCTGGGTGTTGTGTGGTGATATGGTTTTTATTTTTTATTTCTGCGGTGTCTGTCTATTAAAAGAGAATTTAAAAAATGTAGCTGGGCGTATGGTGGGTGGTACACCTGTAATTGTTTGTTTTGAGCTGAGGCGGTGAGAATCCATTGTGGTGTTATGCGTTGTGGGAGGGCAGGGTTGAAGTGAGCTGAGTCATGCCTGCCTGCGTCTGGGCCTGGGCAAAGCAAGCAGCGAAACTCTGTCTAAAAAGTAGAATAAATAAATAAATAAGCTCTATGCCATAAACAATAGAATTTATCTCTGGCATGCAGTGAATGTTGATTGTGAACATAGGTATAAATGATCAATGTGATACAGCCAATGGATGACAGACTAAGAGCATTAAAAAACCGTGGGGCATGGGCTCTACACCTATAATCGCCAGCACTTGAGAACCTGGAGGCAGCAGATGGCTTGGAGTTCAGGAATTCAAGACCAGGCCTGGGAACATAGTGAGATTCGCGCCCATCTCTAGAAAAACAAAAAAGTTGTCTGGCCATGGTGGCAGCATGCCTGGTAGTCCCAGGAACTGTTGGGAGGCTAAGCGGTGGGAGGATTGCTTGAGCTAGGACGTTAGAGGCTGCGAGTGAGCAGTGTGGCGCCATTGACTCAGCCCGGGGGGAGAGAGTAAGACCCTGCCTCAAAGGAAAAGATAAATAATAAAAGATCATCATCAATAAATGCAGAAAATCATTTGAAAAAATCAACGAACTTTCGATGAGAAAAACTCTCAACAAATTAGCTATGGAAATAATTTACTTCAACATAGTGAAGGCCATATACTATAAAGTCACAATTAATATCATACTAAACGGTGAAAAACAAAAAGCATTTTCTCTAAGATTAGGAACAAGGCAAGGATGTCCATTTTTACCAGTTTTACTCAACATAGTACTGGAAACATTGAGGAATGAAGCAAGAAAAGAAATAAAGCCATTAAAATATAAAAGGAAGGAGTAAAATTATCTCTGTAAGCCTACAACACGATCTTGTATGTAGAAGACTATTAAGATTCAACAAAAAAACCATCAGAACTAATAAACGAATTCATTAAATTTGCAGAACACAAAATCATCACATAAATTCAATTGCTTTTCTAGACACTAACAATGAACTATCAGAAAAAGAAATCAGGAAAATAATCCCATTTCCAAAGACATCAAAAAGAGTGAAATACATAGGTTTAAATTTAACTAAGAAAGTGAAAAACTTGTAGACTGAAAATACAAAACACTGATGAATGAAATTTTAGAAGACAAAAACAAATGAAAAGACATCTTGTGTTCATGAATTGGAAGTCTTAATATTGTTAAAAATGTCCATCCTACACAAAATGATTTACATATTTAAGGCAATCCCTATCAAAATCCCAATGGAATTCTTCACAGAAATTGAAAAATTTATCCTGAAGTTCATATGGAACCATAAAAGACCCCAAACAGCCAAAACAATCTTCAGAAAGAAGAACAAAGCTGGAGGCATCACACTTCATGATTTCAAATTACAAAGCTACAGTAATTAAAATAGTATGATACTGGCATAAAGACAGATGGAAAACAGAAGGATAGACAGGAACTCCAGATATAAACTCAGGCATATATGCTCAAATGATCTTTGTGCAGGGTGCCATGACTAGCCAATGGGGCGGGGTGGGGACAACTCTTCAACAAATGATGCTGATAAAACTGAAAAGCCACATGCAAAATAAGGAAATTGGATCCATATATGTTTGAGCAGTTAGGTCCTCTTGATGTGGAGGGGCTGACCTACGGGCTCTTCAAGGACAAGACCAAAGGAACTTGGCCTTCAACCTAGAGAATGTTCTGTTATGTAGCCATAGTTTAGGAACACCATGAGAGTCAGTTGTGCCATGGCAACCTGCCAGTCAATATGGCAACTGTATGTGACAAAGTCACAAAAAATTTTAGTGTAGGCACCATTGTTCTATTGGAATGCATACATATTAGTGGATTAGAGTGGGCAATGAGGAGAGGTGAGGTGAGAGAAATATGAGGAGAGGTGAGAGAAATATGTACCACCACCAAGTATCAAGTGTCCTAGAACAAGAAAGAAAATATAAGATGTGGAATGCACGTCTTATAAATGTAAGATGTGGAATGCACGTCTTATAAATGTAAGATGTGGAATGCACGTCTTATAAATGTAAGATGTGGAATGCGCAAATAATTATTTAAAAGTGTATGCTACTCATCATGCTGAAAATAATATTGCAATTCTATTCTATACATGTTTGTAAACTAAACTGGCAAACCAAGGTGATTTCTAAACCTAAGTGACATTAAAACTTCGGCCACTGAATATAGCCACATGTCAGAAGTGCCACAAATTGCTGCAACCATATTAATCATGTTGATCTGAAGCTCAACTTCAGTAATAGTAAAATGTTATAATTTCTTTTTTTCAAATCATTGAATTTAAAAATGCATGGAATCCTTGGGTGTGTAGAAAATACTGCATTCATAAGCCTTTATATGATCACGTGGACAGGTTATCTTGCTGTCCCAATAGATGTGTACATATAATTTCTTTGTCCCAATGGATTCTCAATGTAATTTTCCAAAACAAGTGAAGTGATTAATTTGTAATTACAATTGAAGTAAATAATGTCCCAGATGACCCAAACCTCACTTAAATATGGCCTTGATGTATGATAACAATTCCTTTGAATCTATCTCCAGTGTTACAATAAATGTATCACGAGTTTATACTTATATTTTAGGATTAAGGAACATTTGATTATTTTATTCATACCAGAAACAGGTTGATTATTTCAAGCAAATGTTTAGTAATTGAGCATCTACTTATTGTGTAAACAGTGCTTGGTGTTTTCCCACATTGTATATTTTAACACAAGAATCATATAAGGTATGTACATTATCTCTTTTTCTTATAGGTAGGAAACGAAGATCAGAAAAGTTTTTGTAAAAGCCTGCTGTGACTTCCAGACTGTGAAGAGGCAGAACTAAAAAACCTGATCCAGTTTGCATGGCTGCAAGCACCCATGGTGTCTCGTGCTGGTCAGCTTGCGTCTCCATGCTGGCCAACATATTCAACTTTGACAAACGTTTCGTCGTCTATTTAGTATTTATTTTCTTAAAATATTAAATCTCAATCTGGTTTGGATGCTTGAATCCAAAAAAAAAGCCACGAACATTTGAATTAATTCAGGCACACAATCCTAGTATCTATTTACACCAAGACCGCATAACTGTTGTCATGGTTCTATGTAATTTAGATTGATGAAGTTCTGATAAGAGATGCGTTGGGTAAGAGCATGTGCTGATAATTATGTATGTACTTTCACTTAACTCATTCTTCAGCATAGGCTTTCTGAAGACAAAGCAAATTATCTAAAGATATGTGGATCTTAGATCAAGAGTCATCGGGGAAATGAAAATGACTTATCACTATCTCCCCCCTTTCCTGATCATGTGCTCGTATTTTGAACACCAGGGACCATCATTTTGAAATGCCCAATTAATCTTTTTTTACAATATAACTTCCTACACTTTTCATCGGCACTCTTCCCTACATTGTTTAAAACTTGCCCAGCACCCCATCAAAGACTTCTCACACTTCTTGTGTTCATCTATACGCTGCTGTTAGAACTGGTGCCAAACTAAAATGTACCTAAATAGATTCCCCAATAGGTTCTATTCACTTTCCATTATTAATCCTAGTTCATTAATGAACCTAGGTTTTCTTATGCTTCACACAATCCACATGTATGACAAGCGGATGGGATAGGAGATGAGTCTTGCGCGATATTTTGCAAAATATCTAGGACGTTCTACTTTCAACAATATAAAAATGTTTGACCTCTTCACTTAAATGAGACATCCATCTAGCTCTATGTTTCAATCTAATTAAATAATTAAGGATATGGTTATTTTCACCTACTGAAAAGGAGCAAGTCAGAAAGAAAGACGATGTCAAAGTCAATTTTCAGGCCCAATTAATTGTATACACTCGAGGCAGAATTACTGAGATAGAGTTGCACTGGGAAGACACATTTGGGATGGGCATGGAAAATTAAGAGTTGACTTTTTTTTTTTTTTTTTTTGAGAATGGTAATTTCACTCTGTCTCCCCAGGCTGGAGTGCAATGTCATGACCTCAGCTCACTGCAATCTCCGCTTCCCGGGTTCAAGCAATTCTCCTGCCTCAGCCCATCCAAGTAAGCTGGCGATTAAGGCGGCCCAACCACCACCACCCCTGGATATTTTTGTATTTTTAGTAGAGGTGGGGTTTCACCATATTGGCCAGGCTGGTCTCGAACTCCTGACCTTAAATGATCCACCCACCTCAGCCTCCCAAAGTGCTGGAATTATAGGCATGAGCCACTATGCCTGGCCTAGAGTTGACTTTTCTATGAACATTTATTAATATGTTAACAGTTTATGTTATCTTAATAAATGTTGTTGTAAACATCCATTTATGTATCTCTTGTGCACATGGTGATTAGACTTACTCTAAAGTATACAAATAGGGGTAAAATAGCTGGATCCCAAGATGAGTCTTCAGTTTTATTTTATGGAATCTGAAAGGAAAATTTGTCTGCACGAAATATTTTATAAGGCAAAGTTACCATATTAAAAATTGAATAAGATCACATTTAGGCATATACACTAACTGTGGGGTCATTTCAACCAACTTAATTTCCTCTGGTCTGGTTTTAATAGGCACTGTTAAATGGATAGATGGAGACGGAAAACAATACAACAGGGACAGAGTTCATTATTTTGGGATTAACAGACAATCCTATGCTATGTGCCATTTTCTTCATGGTTTTTCTAACAGTTTATATAGTTACCATAGTGGGAAATATTAGCATAATCCTCTTAATCCAAAGCAGCCCAAAGCTTCACACCCCAATGTACCTTTTTCTCAGCCATTTGGCTTCGTGAACATTGGGTATTCCACATCGGTTACACCAATCATGCTCATCAGTTTCTTAAGAGAGAAAACAACTATTCCTGTCACGGGCTGTATAGCACAGCTTGCTCTGATGTCATGTTTGGAACCACAGAGTGCTTCCTACTGGCCACTATGGCCTACGATCGCTATGTAGCTATCTGCTTTCCCCTGCTTTACTCCATCCAAATGCCCCCAGTCATCTGCCTCCTCCTACTGGGAGCCTCCTACCTGGGTGGATTCATGAACGCTTCGTCCTTTACAGGCTGTTCGATGAACCTGTCCTTCTCTGGTCCAAATAAAATCAACCATTTTTTCTGTGACCTCTTTCCACACTTGAAGCTTTCTTGTGGCCATGTTTACATTGCTGAAATATCCCCTGCCATCTCCTCTGCATCTGTCCTTATCAGCACGCTGTTTACCATAATCATGTCCTACATCTACATCCTCTGCTCCATCCTGAAGATGCGCTCTACTGAGGGAAGGAAGAACGTTTTCTCCACCTGCGCTTCCCACCTCACTGCAGTCACTTTGTTCTATGTGACCATTTTGTTTGTTTATGTGATGCCCAAGTCAAGCTATTCAGCGGATCGGGTCAAGTTGGCATCTGTGATCTAGACGGTGATGATTCCCATGCTGAACCCCCTCATCTACAGTCTTAGGAATAAGGAGGTGAAAGAGGCCATGAGAAAATTGATGGCAAGAACACATTGGTTTTCCTGAATTAAATCAGGTATAATCCATAAATAACAAAACCAATGATTTGGGAGACATTTGCGCTTAATATTCTATTTATATTTGTCATTGACTATATCACTTATATAGTGAAGAGCTTGTATAAATATAGAAAGCCAATGCTTACTTCCATGTACAAAGGTAATTGTGTAATTTATATGGACATCTGCTGGAGTTTTTTTTTGTTTGTTTTTTTTTTTTTTTTTTTTTTTTTTTTTTTTTTTGAGATGGAGTCTCATCCTGTCACCCAGGCTGGAGTGTAGTGGCGCAATCTCTTCTCAGCTCACTGTAACCTCCTCCTCCCAGTTTCAAGCGATTCTCCTGCCTCAGCCTCCTGAGTAGCTGGGACTACAGGTGCGCACCACCACGTCTGGCTAATTTTTGTATTTTTGGTAGAGACGGGGTTTCACCCTGTTGGGCAGGCTGGTCTTGAACTCCTGAGCTCAAGCAATTCGCCCACCTTGGGCTTCCCAAAGCGCTAGGATTACAGCATGAGCCACTGCTCCCAGCCTGGAATCAAATTAAACGTGGATTTGTCGAGGTAAGAATACCTCAGAAAACAGCTTCTAATGAGATGTCCCCCATTCACCAATTACAGAGTTCTAATTAAATAGAGACACAGAGACATATTTCAAAGATCAACTTTTTCTAAATCCCATCTTATAAGATAACATCTGGGAAAGGAATTTCCAATAGATGTGTAATCAATGGTAATGTTAACAAGTCAGGCAGTCCAGGTTACTTTCTTTAAATGTCCTACTCTGCTGTGGTCCATGGATGTTTAAACTTTTGAAAATGGCAATCTGAGAGTCAAAAAGCTTCTATTTTTTTTCTGTTATTTAAGCCAGAGCAAAAATTATGATTCCTGTATTTGGCCATTAAGAGATACAACCCACACAGCACAGAAGAAACTCTGAATAAATCTCAGCTAACTCTTTTTATAAATGAAGTCTTAACAGATGAGCACTAGAGTTGGATTTTGAAAGCAGATGTTTCTTTAGGTAGTGAGACTTTCTTTGACCAACAGCTTATAGATAGGAGACATGAAATTATGATCCAGGCAAAACATATATCTGCCACACATTTTTACAGTGTCTCTCAAAAAGGTGCCCATCATCACTGCTTCTTCAACTTTCCTTTTTGTAGGGGCTTGTGACCCAGTCTGATTAAGGCAATTGTCTCTACATTGATTCCCTCCAGTGCTTCTTCCACAACAATTTCTGATTAACATTTTAGTTAATATATTTGCATTATTAGTATAGTAATGATGTCATACAGATCCCAAGACAGTAGGGAGCGACCATTCATTTTACAGTCCAACCTCCCATTCCTGGGTTCTTCACTGACCAGATCAAGGAAATCTTCTCTTCTTCTGTCTGGAAGTCATATTGTGCAATTTCTCTGGTCCTGTTTCCCTGTTTATACCTCTTTACTTGCATTAATTATGGGCCTATAATCCCCCCAATGCAATAATTCTGGGGTTAATGTTAGCGCAGACATGGCCCTTTCCAAAGAGAAGGCACCCAAAGGTGTAACTTCAGTCTGAGAAAGAGCCATCTTAGCATCATGGTGAGAACACTGAACTCTGGTGGTTGAAGGTTTTCATGGACTCTTTCTGTCAGCCTCTTCTTCATCTCACCCTCCACACTTCACTCTTGACCAGGGTACATCCTCAGATCTCTGTCCTTATCCCCATTCCCCATGGAACCCAAGGGAGACCTCATTTTCTCCAGTGGGGTCAGCTGTCCCCTATGTGGTTAACAGTATTCCTATCTCCAAATACAACCTTCCTTGGAGGACAGATAGACTTCATTGACCTTTTCCCTAGGACCCTCACACTCAGCGTGCTGTGACCGGATTTATTATATTTCTCCCCAAACTGTTTCTCCTCTGTTTCTTTTCTTAATATGGTCACCTCACAAATGTCACCTCTTGTGAGGACTGGTACTCCAACAGACTTGGCGTGGCCCTCACTGTGTACCTGTCTAAATGTTTAGCCTCCCTCCCTCCTTTTCCTTCTCTCAGAAGAAATATATGTCATATATTAATCTATCCTCATCTAAGTCTCTTTTGTCTGGAGAATTAAGTGCTTCCCAATTGATTATGATAAGTCCATGCAGAAATCTGTCCTCTGTTCTTCAATTCTAAGGGGCTCAATTAATTCAATCACACAGATGTAGAGGGTATGGCTGCATCTGGCACTGTTACAGTCCTTTTGGGAGAGGATTTATATTTAAACTCATTTTCCCCTCCCAAGTTCTGAATCAACTGAAGAATGAAAAAAAGAGAAGGTATGTGTGAGAGCAAAATATTGTCTGTAGAAAAGAAAGAGGTGATATTAGAGAATGTAGTTTATGTTCGTGGACACATGTTTTTGTGTTCTGATTCCCAGAATTTGACACTCTTTCTTTCTGAGTCTCCCGGCCTTCGTCTTTCTCCCATGCTGGATGCTTCCTGCCTTCAAACATCAAACTCCAAGTGTTTCAGCTTTTGGACTCTTTGACTTATACTCATGGTTTGCCAAGGGCTCTTGGGCCTTTGGCCACAGACTGAAGGCTGTACTGTGGGGATTCCCTCATTTTGAGGGTTTGGGACTTGGGCTGATCCACCACTGGCTTCATTGCTCCTCAACTTGCAGATGGCCTATTGTAGGACTTAACCTTGTGATCGTGTGAATCAATTCTCCTTAATAAACTCCCTTTCACTGATGCAAAAATGCTCAATAAAATACTGGCAAACCGAATTCAGCAACACATCAAGGCTGGTCTTATTTCCAGGTAAGGTGCAGCACTTTACGAGCCTCACATAAAAGCTTGGAGTATTCTCAGTCCCCTCCATCTTAAATGGTATTTTTATCAAACTCTATCATATCAGCATTTCAGAAGGTTGAAATCTGCTCAGATCTTCAGCCTCCCACAGGCTGCTTCCTGCTTAGTGTTTTGATATTCTGCCAGCCCAGTGCAGCTTACGAGTAGTTAAATTTCTTAATGGGAAGTTACACATCACATTTCAGACTAAATTATCTGCAGTTTATTCCTCTGCAGGATCTTGGTCTGTCGAGTCTTAGCTGCCTTGACATCTTTGACCCCCAATCTCTGTGTGCCCATCCTGCTACACTGTCAAAAGCCCCAGCCTCTGGCTTTTTTTTCTCAGCCCTAATTCTTCATGATATCTTTTGTGAGGATCAAGGAAAATTTCACTTGCAAAATTTAAACTGAGACATAAAGAAGATAAGAGTTAACAGGCCACTGGGAGTTGGAAGTACAGTTGTACAAACTTTGGTGGGTGGGCAAAATAGTGATGTGGGAGGCTGGCCTAATTATCCTCAGCTCAAAGCACAGTGTCTGGTACAGAGCGAGCACTCAACAAATATTTATTTGTTAAATATTAACTCTAATTCAACAAATATTTATGTAATATCTTTCATATTCCTAGCACTAGGCTATGAACTAAAGAAATGAAGTTGTATGCGTCATGTACTTTTCTTTTAAGAAGTTCACAATAATGAAATAAATGTTCCAACCAGAAATACCATTTGACCCAGCAATCCCATTACTGGGTATAAACCCAAAGGATTATAAATAAATCTACTATGAAGTCATATGCATGTGTATGTTTATTGCAGCACTATTTACAATAGCAAAGACTTGGAACCAACCCAAACGCCCATGAATGATAGACTGGATAAAGAAAATGTGGCACATATACCCCATGGAATACTACGCAGCCATAAAAAAAGAATGAATTCGTGTCCTTTGCAGGGACATGGATGAAGCTGGAAGTCATCATTCTCAGCAAACTAACACAGGAGCAGAAAACAAAACACTGCATGTTTTTGCTCATAAGTGGGACGTGAACAATGAGAAAATATGGACATTTATCTCATTGATCATCTCATGTGATGGAGGGGAACATCACACACCAGGGCCTGTCGGGGGATGGGAGGCAAGGGGAGATAGAGCATTAACACAAATACCTAATGCATGTTAGGTAGGGCTTAAAACCTAGATGATTGGTTGATAGGTGCAGCAAACCACCATGGCACATGTGTACCTATGTAACAAACCCGCACATTCTGCACATGTATCACAGAACCTAAACTAAAATTTTTTTAAAAATACAGTGGTTTCTATTCAAATGGTATGAACAAAGTGTTACATGTTATGTTTCTTAACAGTAGTTTCCTTGACATTTGGGCAAGAAAATGCTTTATTGTGTGTGTGTGTGTGACTGTGTATTGCAAACATGTAGCATTCTTGGCTCCTGCCCATTCTAGGCTGATTGTCTTCTCCAGTCCTAGTAAACAAAAATCTACCATTTCCAAACAAACCCCTAGGTGGGTTCAATCTCAAATTTGGAATGACTGTTAGGGGAATATACAGGAGAGGACAACTTATTCTACCTGATAAAATCTGGGGAAGTCTTATAGGCCTTTTGAAGAATTAATATACATCTATTTGAATGTTTAATTGGTCAGATCTTGGCTTACTCATAAGCTCAAAAATTGTGTTCCTCTCAGGCCAGAAGATAGGGTAAATCAGCACGTACAGGCAGTAGAGACCAGGCCTGGCAGACCGCACCTTATGCAAGGTACAAGTCAGGAAAGACAACCAAGAGTTCTGTTGACCCTTTAAGCGCCAGATACCTTCATTCATGTAACTCTCAATAGCAAAGATTTTTACTAAGATGTACTTCTTTGTCTAGAGAAAATGAAAATAGCAGGCTTATGACCCTCAATTGTATAGCGGATTCTCTTTGTTTTATGATTCTCCAGTGGGGCAGGCTTCTCCCTTACCAAGAGTCTGGAATTGTTTTTATATTCTGGGTTTAGTTTCTTGTTTTCTTTTGTGCCAGTTTCCTTCATTGTCTCTAAGAATGTCAACCTTTATGTTAAGCTGATGGTAAAAGAAGTTTCATTCTTACCTTCCTCTAAAACAGGAAGACCATTGGCCAGGCGCGGTGGCTCACGCCTGTAATCCCAGCACTTT